GAGAGATAAAGAAATACAGAGAAGACAAGTAAAGGCAATCCAAAACATAAGTAACTGGGCCGGCCCGTGGCTCCCTCGGGAGAGTGTGGTGCTGATAACACCAAGGCCGCGGGTTCGGATCCCGTATACGGATGGCCGGTTTGCTCACTGGGTGAGCGTGGTGCTGACAACACCAAGTCAAGGGTTGAGATCCCCTTACCGGTCATCTTTAAAATAAAAAAATTAAAAAATTAAAAAAAATAAAATAAAACATACGTTACTGGATTCCCCGAAGAAAACAAAAATAATGAAACAGAACAAATCTGAATATATTATTCAAGAAAAATTATTAAAAGAAACTGCAAGAACACACTATGTTCCAAGAGGAAATGACCCAGAATGATCAAAACAGAGAGCTATTCTAGCAAACTTAATGGTCTTCAAAGATAAAAGAATCCTTTGTGCCATCAGGCAAAAAAAGATGCTTAAGGAGGGGTGAAAAAAGTAGGCTGGCCTCAGATCTCACTGACATTCAGCATCATAAGACATTAGAGCAACATTTTCAATATGCTTGAGGGAAGGGAGTAGACGAGCAGTCGTTCAAGAAAACAGTGGCCTGCTGGCCGGTCGGCTCAGTTGGTTAGAGGACAACACCAAGGTCACAGGTTCAGATTCCTGCCTGAAGTCACCGCTAGAGAACAAAGGAGCCAGTCGGGACGTACCTGGGGAAACTACACAAACAGAAATGGTTAATGTGCATTAAATATGTTCACCTGTACAGGGGGTGGGGGAAGGCCTTAAAAAGTGTGCAGACAGGAATAACAGAACAATTAGTAAGTGTTAAGTAATCTAACAATGTAAAAATGACAACTGAAAAGTTGAGAAAAAGGAAAAGATGATAAGAGATAGAATAAGTCAATTACTTCAAATGTAGTTGAAATTTGAAAGATATATACATCCAAACTTTAGTTTAATACTGCAAAGCTTGGGCCGAGCCCGTGGCGCACTCGGGAGGGTGCAGCGCTGGGAGCGCGGTGGCGCTCCCGCCGCGGGTTCGGATCCTGAGCGTGGTGCGGCAGGTCTCAAAAATGACAATACTGCAAAGCTGAACTCCAAAATAGACCTTAAAATACCAGGTTGTGGAGACGAAAGCGGAGGGAGAGGGAAAAAAACATAATAGTCATTGTTTACATTAGGAAATTAATAGGTACTAAAGAAACAGTATTAAAAGTATTATGAAGCTTATACTATATTTGGATCCCCATACTGGCCAGCTGCCTAAATAAATAAATAAATGAGGTTTATGTTATAAATGTAACCACTAGGAAAACAATAGAATCCTCCTACGTTTCTGAGGAACTATACCCATGTATACAAAGGTACTTCCAAAAAGTTCATGGAAAAATAGAATCAAATTATGAATCTTTCAGGACCCGTTGTGGTTCACTTGGGAGAGTGCGGTGCTGATAACAAGGCCACAGGTTTGGATCCTATATAGGGATGGCCGGTTAGCTCACTTGGGAGAACGTGGTGCTGACAACACCAAGTCAAGGGTTAAGATCCCCTTACCGGTCATCTTTAAAAAAAAAATTATGAATCTTCCGATGAACTTTTGGAAGTGTCCTCATACAAACACAGCTGACATAATGAAATGTAAATGAGACAAGTGATTTCACCCACTGGAAATAAAACCTCATCATGGCTCATGACTACTTTTTAAATATCCAGGACAAGTCTGAAACAAACTAGTAAAATGTATATAAGTCTTAAAATTTTTTCAATTATATTACACAACAAAACTCAATTCTATATTGTATAAAAGTCACACATAAAAGAGTGATTCAGAAAGATTGAAAATACAAGCAAAGGTATACAACTTTATAAATTTCTTGCATTCGATTCTTCTACTCTTCTATATAAGAGAATGTTCTCGTTCTGAGATGACACAAGCAAGTATTTTGAGAACTGATCCATTAACTCAGTTGGTTAGAGCTCAGTGTTATAACACCAAGGTCAGGAGTTCAAATCCCTGTATCAGCGAGCCACAAAACAGAGAATAAATGGAGTGTTAAGTAAATGTGGCCAATGTTAACAACTGGTGTAATTAGGTGAAACGCACAGTTCATTGGCCTAATCTTTTAACTCTATGTAGTTTGAAATTTTATTTTACTTTTTGGGGGGTGGGGGGGGAACAGCAGCCATTAAGGGGATCCGAACCCTTGACCTTGGTTTTGCTAACACCACTCTCTAACCAATTGAGCTGACCTGCCAGCCCCTGAAATTTTACTTTTAAAAAAGTTTAAAGTAAAATGAAAGAGATTATGAGAGTGAACAACAAAAATAGAAACCAACAGCTTTCATATATTACCAGTTAGAAAAAGTAATGGATGAGGCTGGCTAGTTCGCTCAGTTGATTAGACCATGGTGTTGATAATGGTTCGGATCCCCTTACGTGCCCAGCTGCCAAAAAAAAAAGGAAAGAAGATGTAGTGGAACTTTACACACTGAGAAAAGGAGTCAGAGGAAATTATCTGCTGACAGCGCTGACTTGACTCAGCTGACTTCAATCTCAGATAAGCCACTTATGTAACCTTGAGCAAGTTACTTATTTCTGTGCTTTATTTTTCTATAAAATGAAGACACCAAGTGACCTGCCTCAGAAGTTTGAGGACTAAATAAGTTAATGCATTTAAAATACTTAGAACAATGCCTAACACTCAAATGTAAAAACTATTTCTATATAAGAAAAACCAATATTGAAGTTTATCTGAAGGACACTAAAGGGCACGTAGAACGTATTGTTTTCATCCATGTTCTTGGACATTCAATCTATTTAATTAACTCTATTAACCTATAATCTATAAACTTAACATGATTACAATAAGAATACATTAGCTCTTTTAAAAACTAGTTTGTGATTCTCAAAGTTTATACAGAAAAATAGTAAGATGGCTTTGCTACTAGAAATGACTTGCAAGTTACAACAAAACCTCAAGGCTACCCCCCCACATTTGTCCCTGCTGGTGAACCATAATAAGCTGAGTACTTCTGTGTTAGAGTAATCTCTGAAGACCAAAGTTGGTTGTGTGAGTGTTAAAACTTAATATACCTTTATAGCATTCTCCACTGTTAAAACTTTGCAATTTCTGTTGCAACCAATCCTCTAGGCGTGTGCAATTATACCCCCTAAATAACCTCTGCTTCCCCTATTCTGAAATATTGTTTCTTACCTATTTTTCAGCATGGTTATTTCTTTATCCCAATCTCCAGATGCTTTTCTTGGGTACCCAATTATATCACTCTGAATACTTGACAGTAGAAGACAGAGACATATAAAATTATCTTTTGTATCCCATGAAGGATGTCAGATCTGTGTATATGAAGGGTCGTTGAAAGAAAACAAGTAAACCACCACCAGATAGTATCTTCCCTTGATATTATATGCCATATTTTTAATTCCCTCCTGTGATATGAAATATATTTGGTCTTCCTGTTTCATGACGTATAGTTCCTAAAACCCTTGGAATCTCGAGTGATGTCTTTTGTATAGTAATAAAATGACTGGTGGCTGGGGGATCCTAGATAGCCTCAGGATGGGGGCTGGTTGCTAGGGGAACCAACCATGCCACTCTGAGCCCAGGGAGGGGAAAAAGGCTGAACATTGCACGCCCCATTTCCCATACCTCACCCGATGCCCCTCTTCCATCTGGCTGTTCATCTATATCCTTCGTAATATACTTTAGAATAAACTAGTAAACCAAAGTGTTCTTCCCCTAAGTTCTGTGAGCCACTCTAGCAACTTAAAGTCAAGGAGATCTTCAAAACCCTGATTTACAGCTGGCTAGGCAGAAGCACAGGCCACAACTTGGGGCTTATAATTGGCATCTGTACTGGGAGACAGCCTTGTGGGACTGAGCCCTCAACCCGTGGGATGATCTGAGGCTATGTCCAGGCAGTGTGTCAGAACTGGATTCAGAGGAACGCAGCTGGTGTCCACTGCAGAATTGCTTGTTTGGTGTGAGTGATACCTCCTACCAACAACCTCTGAAGCTTCACTTGCCTTCTACCTCCTATTTTCGACATCTCTTTTGCAGTTAGTTGATACATGCAAATACCAATTTGTTTTTTATTTTTATTCTTTGTGCCTTTATTTCCTAACCTTACCAAATGCATAACAAAGTTCCTTCATGTGATGAGATCATAAAATCTTAAAATGCCAGATATTTACATTCTGGGAAGGTGAGTATAAAAATTATTCATTGAACATGTAGCTAGCAAGAACAAGTATAAAATAAAGGTATTCAGATACAATTTTAACAAGATCCTCTATAGAGCTTGTTGGTGATCATGGTGACAAAATTAAGGTGATGGTTTCCCGTATCAGCCAGCTGCCAAAACAAAATAAAAAATACAATAGCAAATGTGTATAGAAGAACTTACTAATAAAAATTATAAAATTAAAATAGTACATTGAAATTTCCTTTTATTACAATTTGTTTCTGAAAATCAGAAAATTATCTGCCCTAATTATTATGCTCTAGCCAAACTACGTAATATTTTCTTTACATTACTTCCCCTACAAGTTATTTTGCTTCCAATTCTTGATGTTGAGTTTCATTTCACTGACTTCAGCCTTCTAAAACACACAGGGCTAGCCAGTTAGATCGATTAGTAGAGTATGGTGCTGAGAACACCAAAGTCACAAGTTCTGATCCCCATACTGGGCAGCCTCCCCTGCGCCACCCCCCCCCCAAAATAAAACACACAAGAATACTTGAGACCTATTAGTGCTTCTTTGGGTCAAATCGAAAACTAAAGTATACTGAAGTTATTCAAACTACACCAATTCCTTATTAATTACTGGTATCAAGATGGGAAGGAAGAGAGGCAAGAAGAAAAGGACATTGCAGACATCATAAGGTTATCAAAATTATTGGTATACAGTGTGTCCCAGCATAGTTTCTCAGCCTATAGCATAAAGTTACCAGCAAAAAAGAGCAGTACAAGAATAAAGTTTATGGTTAAATTGCCTCTGTGTTATAATTCCCTATTCTAGCATTCTCAGAAGGATCCCATCCGTGATGTACACAGTAACTGCAGCCACATCTGAATGGTTCATTTCTGGATCCACTCTAAAAAATAATGAAATGGATTATTCGGTATATGGCACCCCAAAGAAATATAACAAACCCTCAAATCTAATGTTAATAAGATAGCTTTTGCAACTGGAATACCTAAGAAGGGGGGTGGGTGAGGTCGAAAAACATTTTAGGGAAAAAAGGAGGGAGATTAGAACTATATAGGTCCTACAGAATGCCAGCTTGTAGATCATTTTGTCGTGGTATCAGGTGCAGATTGTCAATAAAAACAATTCAGTTCTCTGAACACCTTAAATGTGAGTAACTCATGATGTGAAGATCGCGTTTATGACAGCACTTGAAAAAGTACAAACGTCACCAAAAGTGAACACTGATATGAACTGTGATGGACTTTGGGTGATAATGATGTCACTGGGGGTTCAATTGTAACAAACGTGCCATTCTGGTGTTAGATGTTGACAGTTGAGGAAGCTGTTGAGGGCCAGGGGTATAAGAACTCTATACTTTCTGCACAATTTTAATGTGAACATAAAACCGCTCAAAAAAAAAAAAAAGTACTAATGTGAACTGGTTTCTTCAGAGTTCCTGGGGATTCAGAAAAGTTCAAGCCAATTCCCCTTTCCTTCTTCAAACCAGATCCCACCCACATGTATAGCAAAACAAAATCCTATTTACCTGAATTCCCTTAAGCTCAGTGTGTGTTAGTTCTTTTTCAAGTTTCTGGGAAGAAAAAATATGTATTTGTCAAAAACTCTATCAAGACAAAAGTCAGACTAGTAATGTTATACACCTACTACGATAGAAGTTGAGGAGTCTTAAACGTGGTACATCCAGCCTGTGACTCCTCCCCATCACTACTTGCACCTTAATTTGTGTCACCTGCCCACACCACAAACTCACCCGAGAGTAACTGTTGAGTAAGAGGTGGTATCTCAGTTTCACCAGCCTTTCTTTCCGTGCAGACAGCAATGTCCTCACTCCTGTTCTCTTATAGGGCAAGCCCTTGCTGATCTCCTTTAAGATCTTTCTTACTCTGTCCTGCTGTTGGGGTGGATCTTCCCGTAGGGCGGAGGGGAATTTGGCAGCAGGGTCGAGAGTCAAGCTGCTAAGGTTCTTTATCAGCGTTTCTGGGATGGGTTGAGAAGCCGCTAAAAGAGAAATTTAAGATCCATGAGGTTGAACTGCATCATTCAGAACTGACAAGCTCCACACAAACCAGTCTGCTCTTAAGCAGGGGAACAAGGGACTGCAGGGGAGAGTCCTCAGGGTGACGATTACAAGAAACACAGCAATGCTGGTCCCTGGTCTTTTCCCAAAATGGGGGAAGTCAAGGCAGAACGAAATCACTTGGACAGAGGCATATGCTAAGAATCCCCTGGTCTCTGGACTGGTTTTTAGTGTTTTTACAGAAATCCACCGAATATCTAACAAGCGTTACCTACTAGTCATTCTGTGGAACCCTGGGACATAGGCAAACCCCATGGACAGCAGTCTCTTCCAGAATCCTCATATCCTTAAGCAAAACTGGCAAGTCCGAGTGGACTTGACTTTTAGTCACCTAGTTCCCTCACGGTTGTTGGAACTCTCCACTCAATCCCAACACGTGGGGAAATGAACCACTGTTCCTGCGCCTTCCCAACCGAATGACCACGCACAGCCCGTCCACACGCTTAGCCCACAACAGAAAGAAAGGTCGCTCGCTGTGTCCGTGGTGAGTATGAAACGGAAGAAGTCTATTCTGCTAGGGACTTGCGCACATGGAAATAAGGATCCCGCAGGTATTGGGGCAGGTTCCAGGAGAGGGAGGGGCAGGGCACTATAGTTTTTTTCTTTATATACAGGTAATTTTTAGCTTTTCATTCATTTTTTTCCCCCACTCATATCTTGTCCGGGATTCTTTCCTCCGGAATCGGGATACGCGGCCAGGACGTGGCGCAGGCGCAGAGGGCGTCCGCGCGCTTCCAGCGCCGCTTGCTAACGGGCCACCNGGTCGAGAGTCAAGCTGCTAAGGTTCTTTATCAGCGTTTCTGGGATGGGTTGAGAAGCCGCCGAGTCTCGGGAACTTTCCTCAACGGGCACTGGAGGCGTCTCCGGGACCCAGCTTGGATGAGGCTCCTGGGGACGGTCCATCGGGGCTCTGGACACAGCTCCGAGCTCCTCCTGTCCCCTGGGGTCCATCCGGAGAGTGATGCTGCACTCAGTTTGCTCTGCAGCCCAGAAGTAGCCTGAAAACCCGAAAGCCAGCAAACGGTAGCGAGAGAACGAACCTCGTTGTTAATTTTTTTACCATCACACTTAAAAGTGTGTGTGTGTATGTGCGTGTATACACACATATATATATACACATATGTATTCATATACATACACAACACACAGGTTTTTTAATATATTTCTGGAAAGATATCTAGAATTCACTTGTTTCCTTTGTTAAATAAATCAATAAAAACTTACCCATTTTTCAAATATTAAACTGTTAAATTGAGCAACATCCATCCTTCAAATACTCAACTGTTAAATTGAGAAGGCTCCTCCCTTTCCAGGCTTTGCAAACATTTGATTTAATCACATTTAGTTAATGAAAAAAAATAGAATTACATGGAAAAAATCAAAATAAAGTACTGATATAAAATTAACTCACTTTTCTCTTTGAACCATAAAGAATATCTAAGATTACATCAAACAAAAGTGTACTTTTTTCAAAAACAAATCATTAAAGAGAAAATTCTTATACAAAATCTACCATACAGAATTTAGAAAAGGAATCACATTGCTCCTAGGCAGCGGACTTATCAAGCACATCGTAATAACATTTAGAGACCACATACGAATGAAATCAACTTAAAATGAGATATTCCCAACATTTTCCATCCCACATTCTTTGCTTGGGTCATTTTCTCTAGCCATCTTTGCATCCCTTCCAGTTCCTGGCCACCACAGCAGGTGCACAGCCTGGCTCCCTTGACTGGTGTCACAGGTCTAGCCTCCGATAAAAGACCATAAACAACCCAAAGGCAGTTTTATTGTTCTTTAAAATTCCCAGAGCACCTTGCACCCAAAAAGTTATCAGTAATAAAGGTTCGCCAAATTGTACTGAATTAAGAGAAAGAACACATGGGGAAGAGATGGAGGGAAAGGGGAGAGATTGGGTGGAGAGAAAGGAGGATGCAAAGCAAGGGTATGAAATGACATTGTGATGGCTCAGGATTTCAGGCCAGAAAATTCATTTGCCACCATGTACTATTCCCAGCGCATAGAACTAGATAAATATATAAACATATGTACACACGTATGGATATGGAGAGGTATCATCTGCCAACTTTTTCTCACAAAGCACATGAGGTTTTTAATATGCTATAAAGATAAGGATTGAGAATATTCCAGTGTTTACAGCGGTATTATTCACAATAGCCAAAAGGTGGAAACAACCCAAATATCCATTGACAGATGAATGGATAAAGAAAATATGGTATATACATAGAATATTATCCTTAAAAAGGAAGGAAATCCTGTCACCTGCTACAACATGGATGGACCTTATGAACACTGAGAACTTTAAGGATATTATGCTAAGTAAAATAATACAGACATGAAAGGACAGATATTATCTGACTCCACTCTTTTGTAAGGTACCTAGAGTAGTCAAATTCATGAAGACAGAAAGTAGAATAGTGGGTACCAGGGCCTGGGAAGAGGAGGAAATGGAGGTATATTGTTTAAGAGGCACAGAGTTTCAGTTTGGGATGGTAAGAAAGTTCTAGAGATGGAAGGTGGTAATGGTTGTAGATACACTGAATGCCATTGAAAATGGTAAATTTTATGTTACATGTATTTTACTGCAAATTTTAAAAAATATAATGATTGGGAAAGAGGATCTGTAGTACAGTCTCACAGACTTACAAGTAACCTCCCTCTCTCTCCTCTGAGACCACACACTGGAATTCCCAGTCCTGGGGTTCCCAGGGATTTAAGATGGTGCCTTATGCATAGCTGTACACCCACAGCTCTAAATACAGTGACTTGCAGCTAGCAGGGATTCATTAAACATTTGCAGATTCATTGAAAAGGAAAAAAACAGGTACCGAACAGTTGAAAGGATTTTTTTTTGGAACAGATTGAAATAGAAGGGCTAAAAAGTTCTGATACATAAACTAGAATGTAGGCAGATTAGAATTCAACAAGTCTTGATCTTTAGAGTAACAGAATCAGCGCGAAAGGATGGGAAACTTTCTTTAGTAACAGTTTTTATTATAATAGAGGAAAAAAATTCGAGTCATATATCAGATCAACTTGAGTTGGCTTTTTGAATAAAATAGAAAGAGAAGTGAGTTATCAAGAAAGAGATGGCAACTATTTTACCTGGAAACTCTGATTATATAACAATATTTTTTAATCATACAGATTGTCCACTCAGGAGAAGCTAGAACATCCCAGAACACAGAGCACCCATTTTCTCAGATGTGAGCACAGACAGAAACATCACCATTAACCCCTTCCTGGAGAAAGACACTGTGTTAGAAATGCAAGTGCACTCTGTAGCTCAGTAAGGTAAAAAGGGGTTAAATGATGAAAATGTTAAAGCAAACGCCTTTGGCCTAGAGCAATTTTACAGAACAATCACTAAGATGATAATCTTCTCCATAATTCCTTCCCTACAGCTGTGGCTAGTTCCAACTTGACTAGTGCAAACAGCACAATCAATTTTGCCCTTTTAAAAATCTGTCTTTCACCCTTCAATCCAACACTACTTCCTTTCTCGTTTAATTGTCCACCACGACCCACAAAGTTACATCTGTTCAGTGCAACACTTTGACCACTGGAGGCCGACATCTAAGAGAGTCCTTATTTCTGCCTTTTAAAGATGTCACCCCAGGCAGAGGCCTCTTATGAGAACAGGTAAGATAAGCCTGCTGGGCTGTACACATGAAAAGGAGAGGAGAATTCTGCCTGCTTTTCATCATACCTTGGCTTTTTAAATTAAGTTAATTAACCCAGAAATTCTGGGTTATCATCTCAGACAGCTTGCCTGAGCCCCAGGTATCTGGACTAAACCGTCCCCAGGTGCTACTACCCATTTAGGAAAAAGGGTCTCTGACTGTCCTGGGCTGTGGGTGTTGAACTGCTGTTAAGAAGAGATTAGGGGAAATCAGGGTTTCTTAACCCCAGCACTACTGACATTGTGGGCCTGAAGACTCTGCAATGGGAGGCTGTCTGTGCTTTGGAGGATGTGTTACCAACATTCCTGGTCTCTATCCACTAGATGCCAGTAACACCCCGTAGGCATGACAATCAAAAATGTCTCCAGACATTGCTAAAAGTACCCAGGGAGGCAAAATCGCCCTAGCCGAGAATCAGTAGGGTAAAGTGAGATCCCATCTCACTGCCCACCGCCATCGGAAACTTCTGTGTCAACACTCTTGCCCCACCTCCACCCACCACGACTCCAGACAGCCTGTGTTAGATCCAGGAGGGCCATGAGCAAGCAGTAGAGCAGGACCCAGGTTAGAAAGGGTGAGAATCTATGCAAGTGGAAACCCACTGTAATCCACTCCAGTCACAACGCTAAAAGGAGAGAACCAGAAGTACCCAAAACACATCTCCCCACCATGATGGAAACCAGCTACCTTCTCTCCCTCCTCTTCTTTGCCAGATTTATCCAAACATGAGCAGCGGGCACATAGCTCTCTGCAGAAAGAAGTGGGCCCATCGGGACCTGACCTGCACCCATGGGGCAGAAGCTCTGCCTTCTAGTCCAGCCTTGTGACTCACTGGCTATAGGACCTTGGGCAAGTCACTTCATTTTGCTGGATGTCTTTTTCCTCAGCTGTCATGTAAAGGAGCCAAATCTTAACCCTTCTCTTAGGCTGCTTCTAGATCTAAACTACTACCATTTTAGGGACCAAGTGCTTGGGGAGGGTAAAGGAAAGGAGGGAACCGATGGAGGCAGAAGAACCAGGAAAGCAATGAAACACTCTGAGGTGACTGCATGGGGTGCACAAGGAGGGCATGAGCCAGGTTTTGAAGAAAAGTCAGGGAGGTTTAAGGCCAGCAACAATGAAATGCAATTTCTAGAACATAAAGAAGGAAGAATTCATAAGAAGTAGCTTTTCATATTTTCCAGCACTCCCCACCCCTTTATCCACCATGACCTGTTCTGTCCACAGGTTGATACTACTCTCCCCTCCAATTGCATTCACTTTTCCTCTTTTTACAACCTCGTTTCTCCTTTTTTTTCCTCCTTATTCTTTTCTCAAATCCCTTAACTCCTTTTCATTCATTATAATGGTTCCTTTTCTGTGGCTCCCCCTCCTTTCTTCTGTTCCCCTCCCTCTTTTCTCTTTCTCCCTCTCTCTCCCTGACCCTCTTCACCATAAGAAAAAAGTAGGTCACCAGCCACAGCCCTAGATTCTATCTCCTTCTAATATTCAAATCTATGGAAAGAAAGACAAGCTGTGTTCTGAAGGATGAAGCTTACATCCATAAAGGCAAGGCTTACACAGTGCCCAGGTGATGTGCTAAGTTCCCACTTTAGAGCATGAATGATAAAAAGAATCATTTTATTCCTTTTAGAGGACTCACATTATGACCATGTTGGTTTGGCAAATGACCATCATTAACCTAAGGTCAGGAGTTCTTAGTGAGCGCCAAATGTGTCCACTTGTGTCCAAGGCAGCTGCATCGCCAAATGTGTCCACTTGTGTCCAAGGCAGCTGCATCCGAAACAACCAGGCCACAGCACAGAGGTGGGGCACCCAACTATCTTAATTTGGCCCACAGAGCCCTGGCATGAAACTGCCTGTGATGTGTGTAAGTATCTTGGCTGACCTGGCACTGCTCCGGGACACAGCAAGTTGGGTGAAGGCCACAGGTTCCCTGTGAATACCTTATCACAGCTGTACCAGGCAAATGACTTTCCAAAATACACTGTCCTGAGCCTGAGCCTGCTGCCTGTCATTTAGAGACCAGGAAAGAATGTTTCGGGGCTCTCGCATGCCTAGTTCCAACACTCACTTGGCCCTCCATCCTGCAATGTTATCACTTGCTGTTTATGAAGAAAACTCAGCCTCTAAAGGAGGGCTCTTTGGAAAGCCAGATGATGGGAGGAAGGCATTTCATAAACTAGACTTACTCTA